GATATTTACCATTGTACGTAAACGAATTGGGACCTAAGAAAACCTTAACGTTATAATTAGATTGAAAGTTAAATGTTACATAAAGAAATAATTAGTAGTTTAAAAAATGTACTGAAATATCCTGCCGTATAATTTTATTCCCAACTATGTGGTTAGTGCATTTTCTCAGTAGGTAATATAGGATATGTAATATAAGACAATAGAAATAAGGTTTAATATCGCAAAACCTTTATAGCAGGCTATTTGCAACGTCCAGTCGGGGCAGGATTCCAAGTAAAACAACAATAACATTTGAATAGGATTAAAAGTCAAACAATTTACATTATTTATTTAAACTTCGCCGGAGGCAAATATATGGGTCTGGATTTACAAAGTATTACAAATCTTAATATAATTTATTAGGAAAATTTGTTAAACATACATTTAAAATTAAAAAAGAAATTTGTGTAACAATATAACGTTATATTAAAAAAAAACTTATGAAATAAATATCCTTACGACATTCACTATTAAGTTCTCAAGTAAGATCGTTATAGTTTGCAAGATGCGAAGGCGGCCGTCTCTCATTAGCCTTTGAGTTGACAATAAGGTATTAAAATATTTAATAATGTTAAAATATTAAACAAAATAGAAAACACTTTATAATATATTACGTCCATTATTACAAATTTAACAATATAAATGACTTTGAAATACTTAAATGTGTTTTATGGATTAGTTTAGCGACACCTATTAGTTCTGCGTGTCACATCTTTCTATGCTGTTTAGAACTGCCATGACGTGATGCCTTGTAAAATATACATCTATATACCCATATTTCCATACATCTATATATCTAGGAATCCATACATACATACACCCACACATTCACACATCCAAATATCTTGGGCGGAAAATAACTGAACTAATTAAAAATCAGAATTAGCCAATCAAACAAATATTCAGTGTTCATTTCTATTAAGATAAAATAAATTAATAACCTGTCTCGGGATTTCATTATCTTGACTTGAATTTTAATTAAAAACTTTGTGTTTATTATAATTAAAAGTAATTAACTATTATGAGTAACCATAATAAAATGCAAAATGAACAGTGTCTATTTTAGCCACTTAAAGCAATTTGTCTTGTCCGTCATTTGTCTATTGCGAACTCATCTGCTTGAGACAGGGATGAGGGGAGCAAAAACAGCCACTTGCTTGTCATCTGCCACATGATTTATTAAGAACCAGCTATTCTTGGCTTTTTAAAGAATTAGTTGAAGGGGTTTCCTTTACTAATGCTGTGGAAATTTTACAAACGTAGCTCAGTAGCTACGTTGATATAAATTGTTATCAAATTGAACCAGTGTTCGGTTACGAAATATTTCAGGGGTTCTTATTTGATGAAAAGTAGTAATTAAATTTCACACCCAACTTAACATATTTTCTTTTTCAAATTTAGTTCTTAACATAAAAAACTATCACTGTTTTATAAAAGGAACACCTTAAAACTATTGAAATCAATGTAACAAAATAAATATTAATTGAACCTCCGTAATGTAGTAGAGATTCTAAGGGAATTGAAAATAAAATTGGCACTAGCTCAATTTTCCGCTTCAATAAACGCAGTTTGGTGCAGTTGGTGTACAGACTTTAGTTCTTTGCAACTAGGATAGAAAACACTTGGATGTTTCGATGAATACCTAAGTTTTATTGTTTTCGAACGCTACTCTGTTTATTAGGTATACGAAGCAAAAAAATCATTGGGTTATTTTGTTTGACACTTTTTTGCAATAAGTAAATTTGCTAAAGAATATTTTTATAGTATAAAGTACAATATTTTCTGAATACGTTTACGTGAAATCATATAATACATTAAACTAAAATATACGTCTAAAATATTTAAAAACTTTCTTTTTGTCTCATAAATATTTATTATGCTTTTACCTATGTATATAAGAAGTTATTTTTGTTGGTATTTTCCGTTTGATTACCTATTTTTGCCTTTTTTATAGTTTTCGAAAGAGCTGGTTCAATTTCGGCCAAACATTCACCGGTGATTCAGATAGATCACGTAATAAGGAATCAAATACTTTTATTTAAAAATATAATCACTTAACATATTATATACTACGAAGTCGGGCAATGATTTTAATTTTACTTATTTCGTAGAGTACTATAGTTTAAATTAATAGTTACAATATTATTATTATATGTGTAACCTTCATGGCCGTCCTTGGTAAAACCATTCTTTTATACTCACTCTGCCAGTCATTATACTTACCTTTCAAAGACCTCTACCATTATATGCGAAACTTTGATCATTAGGCCACGTTATTACCACCTTCGTAATTAACTTTACCTTTGTTTTCTTCTGTAATTTCCAGGTATTCGTTTAAAGATTTTGTAAAAAGATATATTGTAAGAGATTCTATTATCTGTAATGATTTTATGAAAATTAAAAACATGAAAGTGTCACGTACGCTCATCTCTTGTAATCATCGTTACCGCGTATACATTTTTATAAAAATAACTTTATAGGTCAAAGGTAAGCCAAGGTTTTTGTGTGAACATGCAAAGTCATAGCAACAAAGTGGTACGGCCCGTCATAGATAAGTGACAGCCGGACTGACAGACGCTAACCTCCAAAGAGCAGAGTGCTTTTACTTTTCCAATACACTGAATAATTCAACTGAAAGTATATTTTTACTTACCTTTTTTTACCTAATTTCATATCGCTTTTTTATATTATTTTGTCGAAAATGTTTTTTTCATAATTTTTTACTTGACCTTGAGGGTAAATTATTGAATGTACTTATGAGGTTACTTACTTATTATGCTATACAGTTAAATAGAATTTCAGTAAATCTGAGCGTCACGCGTTTTTTCTGGAACATGTTTTTTGGATAAAAAGTACACTTGGCGCTCGCAGCCTTTGTCCATATAAATAAAATGTTATTCACATTTGGTTGCGTGCTTTAGTAGTGGCTTATCGGAAAAAAATAATAAAATAAATACAAAAATAATCTTCTGTATTATAATAATAGTGTTTTGTTATGTATACATTACAATAGCCATGTTTCACTACATACAAAATATACATCACCGCAACCAATTTCTGATTCCGCTCTCAATACTTCGACAAACAATGGAATGTTTCGAAACTTTAAATGGTGATCAAACAATCGTTTCATTTTCGTTTTTCCAGCAACGAACGGGTTGATTTTGTTCGGACGAAACATTCCACCCATTAAATATACAAAAAATATCGAGTAAACTCAAAAGAAAGTATTCACGATTCAGATAATGTTAATAATATAAGTAAAGATTGTAATCGTATACCTATTTAAGTTAAATGATTTAATATATGTGATGAATGGTTAAAGTGCTCGTACCATATTTCGAGCTGAATTAAACGAATTACTCAACTTAAATGTCTTCACTATAACTTTATGGAACATTTACCAAACTTAGACACGAAGCAATAGTTTCAGAACTCTGAAACTAGATACGCTGATACATTAATATAATTCATTTTTATAGCTTAATAAAAATACAACGAACTTTTTACGATCTGTCCAGCACTTGATGTTGGCAATTCTGTGTTATTAATTTTTAGTAGACACACTTTTATGGTGTTGTTACGGTCGAGTAAAATCACTTGTGAGACGAAACTTGATCTAATAAATTCATTATTAAGACCGATTGATGTTTCGATAACTATTGAGTGTATGAACTTAATCTTTACTCCAAATATACATATATTTGGTGTTCAAATTCTTTCATACGGACTTTTTCTTCTTACAAAAGATATGCTATAAGGTTGAATTCACACAAATTACTGGATATCAGTTGTTAATACACACAAATTAACTTACATTAGATTGGGTAAAACGACGTCCAATGTAATAGTATTGAAAAATTATAGGGCAAAATGTTTTTTATTAGAACGAAAAAAATACTTGTATTTAAACATGATATAATAAATTCAATATAACAAAATATTAAATAAACGATTCGGTATTTCAATAGGGTAATAATATAGATATAGTTTTTGGTATTGTTTATATTAAAAGTGTTGCACCTAATTCATATTCTCACATCTCTTTGGTAGTAACATTAGAAATGTAAGCCATACTTTATATTTTTACTTTTAATTATAAAATTACGTAATTTTTAAATAAAATATACTGTAAAAACAGGTTATGTACGCTAAAATTTTTATTTTCCAATTAATACTTTTTGTTTCATTGATGTAGCTGCAACAGTTTTTGAAATTATTTCCAGAACGCAGAGAAATGAGTGGCTGAAATTGTGTCAACGCTTGTACCCCATCAACGTTACCACACAAGCTATTTTCTAATTAACTTTTTGGGACCGCCATCCCTTACTTAACTTGATGGATCTTTTCTGACATTAAAATATTTTTGGGTTTAAGACTCAGATGTTTATAATTAATTGTTATATTTGGGTGCTATAGTTATTATATCAAAACACCTTTTCGTGTATCTATCTTGTAATATTTCAGTAGACCAAGAAATAGGAATAAAATATCTATCTATCTATCTATCTTTCGCTCGACATTTTATGGAGGCCAATTTGGCGTTGTCAATGGCACGATCAGGTGACCCATAGTATTTATAATATTTGTCACTATACTCGTAATAAGTTCCTCCCGCTAGTTTTGTGGTTTATATGATATTGTTGCTTAGTTTTTTACCGTTTTATTTTTAATCTAAATTACTGTGAACCAGAGTATTTACATCCAGAGGGTGTCCTGCTAAGTATTTTTCCGATATTTGGTTTTGGGCATACGAGTGCGCGACCCCGGATCCTCGAGCCACCACTTTCATACCTTTATCTCCAGTCCATGAAGGTGGTGTCCTGTACCTTCCCTTCATTCCCATTCCAATCCTCTTTCCCCTCCCCCTCTCTATCTTTATCCTTTCCTGGTTTTACCCGTTTAACGGGGTTTTGGAGGTCAGACGGCAGTCGCTCCAGTAAAACCATAAAGCCACTAATATGGATAGACAGGACAAGGAACTGGGTACGGCTAGGGCGTCGCCGTTAAACGACGCGCAGGCACATCGCCCTAAACCTGTGACAAGTGGGCAAGGGCTACCGTGTCAAGTACGGGCACGGCTAAAGACGCGAGTACCCAAACGGAAACTCCGCTTTGCAACGTGGAACATTGGCTCTCTAACCGGACGATGCAGAGAACTCGCAGATATACTCGTGAGACGTCGGGTCCAGTGTGCGTTCCTTCAGGAAACTCGCTGGAAGGGCAATAAGTCTCGCAACATCGGACAGGGTTACCGGCTGATATACACTGGGTCGCCTTCAGGTAAAGCTGGTGTAGCAGTAGTTCTATCTGAAGAGCTTCAGAATGGTCTCCTTGAAGTCGACCGCCGCTGCGACCGTCTGATGCGGGTGCGGGTACTGATCGAGGGAGTCATTACTAACTTGATCAGTGCCTATACTCCTCAGGCGGGATGTAGTGGGTCGGAAAAAGAGTCATTCTGGGAGCAATTTGAAGAGGTTCTACGCGCTATTCCAGCTGCTGAAGTAATCATAGTTGGGGGGGACTTAAATGGCCACGTAGGTAGGGCTGCGGATACGTACGAGCGTGTACACGGTGGTTTTGGTTATGGTCGCCGCAATGCAGAGGGAGAAACTATTCTCAGAACCTGTATTGCGTCTGATTTAGCCGTCGTGAACACGTTCTTTCAAAAGACTTCGCAGCACCTTATCACGTATAAAAGTGGGTCCCACTCTACCCAATTAGATTATCTGCTGACCAGACGGTGTCATATCGGCAAGGTGACTAACTGTAAAGTCATTCCTGGTGAAAGCCTGACAGCCCAACATCGTCTTCTTGTCATGGACTTTGTCGTTACCCCGAAAAAGAAAGTAGCCGAGAAACGTGAGCCTCGGATCAGGTGGTGGTTGCTGAATGGAACGATGCAGACCAACTTTCGGGCAGCGGTTGAGAGTCAAAATCTGTTGACCCATACCGAATCTGCTCAGGAAGCTTGGGATCGAGTGCAGTCAGCAATTATCACGGCAGGTAAACGAGTTTTAGGTCTTTCTAGGGGGGGACGGGTCATTGACAGGGAGACGTGGTGGTGGAATGACGAAGTGCAGGAGGTGATTCGCAAAAAAAAAAGGCTGCCTTTAAGGAGTGGCAGCAATCACACTCTCCTGAAGACAGACTAGAGTACATAGCAGCGAAACGTGCCAGTAAAAGGGCTGTTGCCAGAGCCCGCAGTGACAGGTTATCACCGTTATATGATACACTTGAAACTGCGGAGGGGCAGAAGCTCATTTACAAATTGGCACGAGCTCGGGATAAAGCGACGCAAGATATCGCAAAATGTCTTTGCGTCAAAGATTCCCAGGGCACGCTGTTGTGTAATCATGCCTCTGTGAAGGAGAGATGGAGATGCTACTTCAAGGAGTTGCTAAATACTCAGCACCCGTGCAGTCTTCCTACCGAACCACCTCCTAATCTTGGACTTATTGCCCCGATAACACCTGATGAAACTCGGAATTGTCTTCGACGCATGAAGAATCGGAAAGCGGTGGGACCTGACGATATTCCGATCGAAGCGTGGAAATCATTGGGCTCTCTTGGTGTGCTCATACTGACGGACCTTTTCAACCGCATCTTGAACACTGGGACTATGCCACATCAGTGGCGTTATAGCTTCATTACCCCCATTTACAAAGGCAGGGGCAGTGTTCAAGATTGCGGTAGTTATAGAGGCGTTAAGATCATGAGTCACACCATGAAGCTCTTTGAGCGCATGATCGACCTCAGGCTCCGCCGAGAGTGTACTGTCTCGGAGTGTCAATATGGATTTCAGCCTGGATCGGGCACCTTGGACGCCATTTTTGCCATCAGAACCCTGATGGAGGCATACAGGGAAAAAAGGAGAGCTCTGCATGTCGCATTCCTAGATCTGCAGAAGGCCTTTGACTGCGTGCCTCGTCAATGTATCTGGTGGGCTTTGCGAACCAAAGGGATCCCTGAGGCCTATATTGACATCATCAGAGACATGTACCGCGATTCCGTTTCCATGGTTAGGACTGCTGTTGGCGATACAAAACCCTTCCCGATCTCAGTAGGGGTGCACCAAGGCTCGGCTCTTAGCCCGTTCTTATTCAATGTAGTGCTGGACACCGTCTCGGCTAACATCCAGGACCAGCCTCCATGGCTGATGATGTATGCCGATGACATAGCGCTCATTGACGAGGACCGGCTGACGCTGGAGCGGAGAGTGAACCTTTGGAAGGGTGCGCTTGAGAACGGTGGTCTTAAACTAAATGTGTCGAAGACCGAGTACATGGCTTGCGGGAGCCCGGACTCTTGCACCATCCATATAGGTCCTGAACCAGCCGTTAAGTCGGAGAAGTTCAGGTATCTTGGATCTATTCTGCATGAGTCCGGAGGCATCGATCACGATGTCCAAGCCCGGATCAGCGCTGCTTGGGCGAAATGGCGTGAGGTCACAGGTGTGGTCTGCGACCGCAGAATACCGCCCAAGCTCAAGGGACTAATATATAAGAGCATAATCCGACCGGTTCTCTTATATGGCAGCGAATGTTGGCCAGTACTGTCCAGGCACACTCAGGAGCTTCACGTCACGGAGATGAAGATGCTGAGGTGGATGTGTGGCGTTACGCGGGCTGACCGCATACGTAACACATTCATCCGAGGTAGTCTTGGAGTCCGTGACGTAGCGGATAAGCTTGAGGAGAGTCGCCTGAGATGGTATGGCCACGTTGCACGCCGGCCTGAGAACTACGTCGGAAGGATTTGCCTTGATATGTGTGTCCCTGGAGCGAGACCCCCAGGACGCCCAAAGAAGCGATGGCTGGACACCGTGAAGCAGGACATGAGAGCCAATGGATTAACCACCGAGGATGCCAAAGACCGGGCAAAGTGGAGGCGTTTGTGTGGGAAGGCAGACCCTAGCTAAAGCTGGGAAATTGCCAGGAAGAAGAAGAAGACTGTGAACCGACTTTAAAAAGAGGAGATTTTTTTTTTATAAAACAGATAAAAGCTATCTTGAAGATTTATTTTTTTATAGAAATTTGATATCCAAAAGTTATTTCCATGGTAAGAAAACTAACATCTGATGTTGGTACCTTAAGAAAGATCATTTATTTATTAAATTAACAGAAGATTGAAGTAGTCTTTAACGGCTGCGTTTCGTGCGATGAGTGAGAGAGCCGGATGCCCTTGCCCTTTCCCATTTCCCACCCTTTCCTGCCCTTTCCTTTTTCCTCCCTTTCCCAATTTTTTCCCAATCATGGGTGGCACCACATCCGCACATCGACATTGTGTTGATGTCTATGGACAACGGTACTACGTCATCAGGTAAGCCGTCTGTTCGCTTGCCCAATTTCGCATAAAAAAATTTAATAGTTGTATATATTTAGTTTGTCGTCATCAGCCTATCAGAGCCCACTGCTGAGCAAAAGCCTCCTTCTCACATGGAGAAGGTTTGAGCATTGATCACCACTCTTGCTCAAGACGGGTTGGTGATATCAAACTTATAATTGTGAAATTATAAGTCCAGGCTTCCTCACGATGTTTTTCTTCACCGTCTGTCAGTAATGTCCAAATAGTCTTAGAAAGTACAAATGACTTGGAAAAGTCAAGTACTTGCCAGGATCGAATCCGTGCCCTCGTGCATTAGAGGCGGAACTCTAATCACTAGGCCACCACTGATTTCATTTTATCTGAAATTATTAATCATTAATTTTATATAAATTTTACAAATCTACTAATAAAATGGTACAACAGCTTTACAATAATATCATCTTCTCAAATACACACAATATTTCAAGACGTCTTTACAATAACACTATTAATAATAATATATAATAATAGATGTTGTCTATGCACATGTGGTCTTTTAAATAAAACTTTGATTTTCGGATATACTACGCGTTTTTTATTATTTTAAAACCATATACACCATTTTACACCACGTTTTAATTACTTTTCAGATACCGTGATCATGGGCAGATGAGGTGAAATGTTTTGCAAGTTAGTATTTTTATAATGAAACAATATATGTGTTAGTTAAATAAGAATAGTAATGACGAATGAAGGCAAAATTACTTAAACAATACAATATAAAACCATGTAAATGTTATTCATTGTACCGTCTATTAATATTTAGCTTCAAGCTTCAGTTATTTAATATTTTTTTAGTAACAACATTGAAAATACCTGTCTTTTATGATAAATAAATTTAATTTTAACTCTAAGATTCCTCTTTAAAGACGGTGCGATTATTATTAACCATTTTCTAAATGTTATTATAATATATTACGTACGTTATTATTACTTTTACAGAGTCATAATAACAGAATCAGGAATTTTATAAAGTAGTCAAAACTTCAAATAAAAAACACTTTAACGCAACTAATTAGAAAAAGACTTTATAAATTTAATATACTTAGAATACATTATTGACAGTTTGACTGACAACTGTCTCATAAACTTTCCAAACATTTTACAATGCTTTGAATAATTCATTTTAAAGAGGGTGCGTGAACAAATTCTCATACTTGTTGGGTACAAGTGAAATGAAACTTGTTCCGCTACGAACGGACTGAAATTAATTCTGTTAAAGTTAGATTTGTGAATCAATGCAAGAAAACAAGATAGTTAAATTGATCCATTAAAATCATGCAGGTATTCCAGTCGTAATTTCATGACAGATTTAAATATCCTGATTTTTAATACAACTGATGTTTTGAACTTAGATCAAATAAAAATTCATTTTCAATAACAATCACTTTCGTAAACAATAAACACCACGTTTTATTGCAATGGGATATAGAAACAAAATTTCACAGCCCTAAGGTGTTTGGGCATTCTTTGCCGCGTCGTTGCACTCTTACTTTTAATAAGTACGGAACCCTTCTTTAATATAGAGCGCACCCTAGAGACCCCCCAAGGACCTCTCCGGGCCCGCATTTACTAACAGGGTCCCGTAATTCTTTTGCCATAAGATTTTCATGACCGTGATTTTTCCCTTCGTGAATTTTGCGAGTGTAATTGCATTCCTTTGCTTTATTTAATGTACAGGGATTATTTAAAGAGCCTGTCTATGCGCAAATAAAAGATCAAGAAAAAAACAATTCGTTTACTTTAATTGGTTTAGGGAAAAATTTTATGATCCAATTTCAGAATTTTTCCAAAGAAAATCTTATTTAATAAATATCCATAGAATTCGAATTAAAGTATGTTTATCTATATTTGTTTTTCATATAAAAATTTATAGGTTCTTTATATATACAAAGCTAAGAGCAAAAATTTTTTTTAAACGATCAAAAATTTACAGGAAAAATGACCGAATTCGAAAATGGCAAACAATTTTATTGGATGAAACTGACAACTAATTAAAAATAATCAAATGAAACTTTTCATTTAATATAATTTATTTGAGCGATTCCATATAGTTTTATTACTATTCCTCACAAATTGGACGAAATTAAATAATGGAAGGGGTTTTTGAACGCTAATATTTGTTTTTGTGGCTGGGCAGACTCATTAGTTATTAACAATCATATGTATATAAATATCACGTTATCGATCCAGAATTCTTTATTCACTACTTTACTATAATCTAAAATATCTAATTTAAAATCTTAATAGCAGCGTTGTTAAGAAAATTATAAGCATGGAATTTACTAAGCAGCATAATATTTTGACGTACTGAATAAAATGCTTAAGATTCTTTCCCCACTTAAAGCTTTCGCGATCACATTGAAAAGTTTATTTTACTTTTCCATTTCGATTGGGAACTTCAATTTCAAGTTTTAATGAGTAAATAACGAGAACCTTGATTCGGCGAGGAATTGCTCACTTTGTAGTCTGTGATTTGAGTTTTGCTTAGTATCAACTGCTGAGGATTTTTGATTGATGCAAATATTTACGTGGAAGAAATAAATTGGTTTTTTGTTTACTTTTGATATGCGATCGTATTGAAAAAATGTTTACTGAGTATTTTATGCTACCGAAGTTATCTTACCTGTATTTTTTTTGTCCTCCGTCTGTAAACAAAACTTCGCGTTAATAGAATCAAAATAAATATTTATAGGTATTTATTAGGACTACTGGTCCTCTTCTTTAAACGTCAGAGTTTCGATTACTTTGTGTGATGATGTGTGAATTTTCATGGTGTTATTATACACACATATCAAGCTATACAATTGAAAGGTACAAAAGTTCATGTGTGCTCATCACGTAAACTGTTTAAAATTGAGTTAAATTATACGAACACATTTATAAAAATAATTTAATGACAGAAGTCAACTTTCGCTTTTTTTATTTGGTTAATGAAGAGTATTTTAAATTCCTGTAATGTGAATTGGAATTTTTAAATAAACTATTAAAGTGAACACAAAATTAAACAAGTATTCAATATTTGAATTAATCATTTATATATTTGGTTTCATTTCATTATTTGGCAAACAAATATAAGTAAAAAGAAACTTGAACTATAAAATGAGAGAAAAAACAACAAACTAACAAAGCAGGACACGAAAGATCTGGACTTCATTAAGTTGTGAACACACTAAAGTAGTGAATTTATTAGGGTTTCCTGTCCATGTGTAACGGGCTTTGTAATTTTACGTTTGGATGCAACATCGATCAGGTAGAAGGACGGCTACCTTTCCGCGATTAACGACTCAGTGTAACTATTTATTAGTCTAGCCCTTCCAACTTTTAAACATTTTAATCTAAACGACCCAGCCATGAGCCAACGTTTTAGTAATTCTTATGTCTATTACGTCTCTAGTAAATAACAAATAGTATACTTTAAATAGACACAAATTTTATTTTAAAACTTTATAGTTACTTTTATTTGTGCAAGGTAATTTATACAGTTATTTTTTTTAATTTAAATTGAAGTTAGCAAAGAATATATACATAACTAACTACATCTGTGGTTTTCATTTACTTTTAAATTAATAAGTTAGACTAACAAAATAATCATAAATGCAACAAATGATTTTTACTAATTAATGTTTTTTAATTCATAGATCGGAATGAACAATTTATTTAAAATGAAATGTCAAATGCCTTATGGCATAATACTCGGACTAAAAGTATTTGCAAAGTGGAAATTAATGTTTGCTGAACATTTCAATTAAATCTGATACAAATGAAACAGTAACGTAATCGATGTTTCCCGTTAACATATCAATTGACAGTAAATTTACGAATCTGAGCGTCCAACTCCCAATCATGAGGTCATTGTATCGTATTTACTGAGAGCCGTTTGATTTGTGGTTCATTCATTATTGCAGCCAATCCATAAAAACTTAAAGAAATGAAGTATCGTTTGATAATGTTTATTTTTAAATTCATAATTATTTACTATACATATAAACATAAGTGACTAAAAAATATTTTACCAGGTCAGACCAATGATTTGTAATATAGTATTTAAGGAAACTAATAATTACATTCTCTTATAAAATTTATTAATAATCATGATATGCAAAAGTGGATGGACGTTAAATTAAAATAATTTTCATTTTATTGTAATTTAAAATAATTTTAAATCAAGTTAGGATCAGAAATGAAATGTGAATTATAAGGAAATCACCAAACACTCGTTTCAAATTCCAGTCTAGACGGCATCTAGACTTTAATATGGCAGCTACAGAGCACAGGCAGAGGCACAGATCCATCGATATTATTGAATTACTTTAACAAAATTATGTCTCAACAACCTATAGAGGGGATATCTCCGGATTATAACATGGTATATATGTATATACATTATATAGTAATATTACTACATCAATAAAGCTTTAATTTTGCAACAAAATTTAGTAAAATCATACATATATTGAATATACTGAACTGTAATTTAAATATTTATGTTAATTATAATATCAATGCATATTCAATTAATATACGAATGTTGGGACAACCGAATATTTTCAC